AAAAAAAAAACAAAACAGATTGCATTAATGTACACAGCTATGATTTAATTAAATAAAAAAAGTTAGATCGAAAAACAATAAATAAATAAATTAAGGAACTTTGAGCACGGTGAAACACACCTATAATCCTAGCATTCTGGGAGGCTGAGGTAGGTGGATTGCCTGAACTCAGGAGTTCAAGACCAACCTAAGCAAGAGCTGAGATCTCAATCTCTAAAAATAGCCAGATGTCGTGGCAGGTCTTTGTAGTCCCAGCTACTTGGGAGACTGAGACAAGAAGATTGCTGGAATCTAAGAGTTTGAGGTTGTTGTAAGCTATAACACCACAGCACTCTACCAAGGGCAACAAAGTGAGATTCTGTCTCAAAAAAAACATTACATGAAGTGAACCTTTTGGTAGAGGCTCCTGAAGTAAATATGGTCTTTAGCTCTATTTGTTTAGATTCTCAATATATTCTTGGCCACTTCACAGTTATGATCAAAAGAATTGAAAACAGTTCTACATTACTGCCTATATTTTTTCCTTGTTTTCTCTCTCTCCTGCACAATTGTTCCTGAATTTACTAACCTAACTTGTTTTATTTTTACTAGCTAACCTGGATTGCTTTCCTCCTTTTATCCAATAATTCCATCCCTTAAGTCCCCAGTGAGCAGTATTTTCAATTTAACATAAGATCCAAGGAACATGCTAGGCTTAAATAGACATGAATAAGATACGTTCCTTGCCCTTCAGGAACTTTCGATCTAACAGCCAAGACAAACATACATATAAATGACTATAATACAGTCTGATAAGGACAGTAGTAGATGTATATTCAGCACAGAGGAAGGAATAATTAACTCAGGCTGGGGAAACAAAGAAGGAAATGAAGGCCTGCTAACATAAAACAGAGTAGCAGGTTCAGAAACTCCAAGTTTGCTAACGCATGACATACAAGTTAAAAGCTGACAAGAGCAGGCCCAGCGCAGTGGCTCACACCTGTAATTCTAGCCCTTTGGGAGGCTGAGGTGGGTGGATTGCTTGAGTACAGGAGTTCAAGACCAGCCTGAAAGAGTGAGACCCTGTCTCTACGCTTGCCTGGGATAACAGAGTGAAGAAGAAGAGTGAAGGCTGAATCTATAGGCAGGGCCCAAACTATGAATATTCTTTCATATCACACTAAAGCATTTCCACTTTCTGTGGTAAGCAACGTGAGATCCATTAAAAAAGTGCAATTTTCTTTAAAATTTTGCAGGATTACAGTATAATTCTAAAAATAAGTTTAGGTTATATTTAATTCCTTGGTCGTAGAGCTTGTTCCATTTTATTTTATAGCTTTTTAGTTTGTTTCCTGGGAAATCAGGGTTGGTAGTCAAAATACCAAAGAGCAAAGCAAAATGAATCACAGAATTGCCACACACAAAAAAGCGGGGCTGTTTACAGGGAACCCCAGCTGTTTCTTCAAAGTCCAGGATCATTCTCTTTGTTTTCATTCCTATTCATAATGATGAAAAAAATACAATGTTAGTATTGTAAGTAAAATATTAGTTTAAGTCTAAAAGAGGGTGAAAATTGGAGGAAATTGATTCATCCTGGTTTTTGTAACTTTTCTGTCGAGAGCTTTATTTTAGTTTGAGAAGTTGGCATGAATACTCACTGATAGTGGATTTCTGTTCCATCACGTGCAAGTTAATGTAAGGGGAGGAGGGGATTTCCTCTGACCCTTCTTCCTCATCTGCTCCTTAACCTCCTTCCTGTTCAGGCAATCAGCAGCAGTTCTTGGTTAGACACTCACCACCACACTGACAGAGGCCATCAGGCAACTATGCCCCTACCAGGAATCATTTCATATGTTTTGTTACCTAAGAGATAATCAAATTGCAGATTTAGTTCTAGATATTAATTCTTGATCACTTTCCATAAAATGAGAACATTGTTACAGAAAACAAAGTTGATATTTAAATTAATCGTGCTGGAACTTTAAGAATATTTTCCCAACTAAAACATTCTTTTTCTTTTACTACGTTAAGTCTGTACAAATAGTGTTATTCTATAGTTTCCACAGATTTGCCTTCCTTCAAGGGATAGTTCAATTGCATATCAGTTTCAGATTTAAAATTCTTCTACATTTGGAAGTTTTACTTCTTAAAAAGAACTTCTGGATACTTTTGCTTTTTCAATTACCATTACTTAAGCATTTGTATCAGTGCCATAAGAAAGCATATTTTTAGCTTCCCAGATAAATTTAAAACACAGTGCTTCTAAAAAGTCACTGGAAATAAGAAAGCACTTGACAATTCCTGGTTAACAAACACCATTTCACCTGTAGGTAACTTGTAGATTGTATGAGTTTTATTTTTATGAAATTATTCATCTCATCTTATTCAGAGCCATAAAAATGAATGGCTTTTCTAAATGATTGCTTCTCTCATATATACCTGCAATACCTGTATCTGCTAATGGACATATTAATAGAAAAAATAAGACAATGTCTTTCTGCCTTAAGGCATATTAGTAATATTATCTACCAGTTTGTAAGGTCATTTTTTTTTTCATTTTTCTGAAATGAGTTTAAAAATATATATAATACATGTTAATATAACTTTATTAGAGATTGCTATATTATGAATTCTATTAGTGTTACTACACATAGAAATAATGTATAATTCAATCTTAAGACTGTGCAATTTTCTCTTTGCTTTTAATATTTCAGCTTCACCAAACCCAGAAGTCATCAAGATAAATTCAATTCTGGATATAGTCACCAAAGTGGAAGACTATTACCTTAAAGGATATATCGTTGGAGCTATTCATCCTGTCATACAACCTGTGGGGCAGCAAAAACACCTGCCTGCAAGTTACCTATATAGGGTGGTGCTGTCACGCTTGAAATTAAGGTAAGCACAGTGCAGAAGAAAACAGTCATACTAAGAACCAGTGGTGAGTGACAGATTTCTTTGTCTAAAAGATAAGAAATTTTCAACAAAGTGATAGAGAATAAAGAATAATTGAGGGTTTTATTTTAAGGCACGTTTTCCAGCAGTTTAACCTGGAAGCAAGGAAATGTATACCTCCTTTCTCAAACCCATAATTGGTTTTAGCTTCTTGCAGACAAATAGGTACTAGGTGAGGACGTTAGTAGGCAAAGGCAAAGCGAAATAGACCCAAGAAGCACCTGGAAGCTCCTGTAGCAACTTCAGCAGATGAAAGAGTCGAAGTTCACTTCCACTGTCCTCCATGTGTACTGTTTCATTAATAGTGGGGACAGAAATTATCTCCACATTCTAAAACTGTTAACAGCAGAAAGACCTACCAAGCCAAGTTCTCCATACTGGGTAGATTTCTTGTCTGCTTCTTCCCCCAAATAGGATTTAAAAGCCAACCTTTTTCTGTTTGTTTGCTTAATTTTAATAGCTACTTTTCCAAACAGAACTGCAACCATTTTTGTAAATTTGGTCGTTTTCATAGTAGAATACTGTTGCTCATTCTAAAAAAAGAATGAAAATAACTAGACCAAGGTTTTATATTAACACATTAAATATTTGGACTCGGCGCCTGTGGCTCAAGTGGCTAAGGTGCCAGCCACATACACCTAAGGTGGCGGGTTCAAATCCAGCCCAGGCACACCAAAACCACAATGACGGCTGCAACCAAAAAATAGCCAGGCATTGTGGCGGGCACCTGTGGTCCCAGCTACTTGGGAGGCTGAGGCAGGAGACTCTCTTGAGCCCAGGAGTTGGAGGTTGCTGTGAGCTGTGAGGCCACAGCACTCTACCCAGGGGGACAGCTTGAGGCTCTGTCTCAAAAAAAAAAAAATATTTGGGGGGCAGGGAGGTTAGGGTTTTTTTTTTTTTTTTTTGAGACATTTTTTGAGGCACTCTTGCCCTGGGTAGAGTGCCATGGCATCAAAGCTCACAGCAACCTTGAACTCCTGGGCTCAAGTGATCTTTTTACTTCAGCCTCCCAAGTACCTGAGACTATGGGCACCAGCCACAACACCTGGCTAGTTTTAAAGACAGGGTCTGGCTCTTGCCCAGGTTGGTCTCCAACTCCTAAACTCAAGCAATCCAACTGCCTCGGCCTCCCAGAGTTCTGGGATTACAAGTATGAGCCACCACACTACACCCTTTTTTTATTTTCTTGATATAAGGTCTTGCTTTGTTACCTGGGTTGGAGTGCAGTGGGGTCAATCATAGGCTGGAGTGATCCTCATGCTTTAGCCTCTCAAGTAGCTGGGACTCCAGGCACATGGCTCTATGCCCAGGTAATTTTTCTATTTTTTTTATAGAGATAAGGTGTCACTGTTGCTCTGGCTGGTCTCAAACTGCTGGCCTCAAGCAATTCTCCCACCTTGGCCTCCCAAAGTGCTAGGATTACAGGTGTAAGCCACAGCACCTGGCCTTAACACATAATATTTTTCACAACTCTTCAACTATAATCATACATTACTTAATTACAGGGATACAATCAGAGAAATGCATCCTTAGGTGATTTTGTCATTGTCTGAACATCATAGTGCATATTTACACAAATCTAGATGGTATACCCTACTACACACCAAGGCAATACAGGATAGCCCATTGCTTGTAGGCTACACACCTATACGGCATGTGACTGTACTGAATCCTGTAGGCAGTAGTAACATAATGGTAAGTACATGTTCATGTGCCTATTCATATACATATACCTATATGTTCATAAACCTAACCAAAGAAGAGGTACAACAAAAATACAGTGTTATAATCGGATGGGACCACCATCATATACGTGGTACATCTTTGATGGAAACATCATTGTGCAGAGCATGACTGTATATCAAAACCATCTCAAAGACCAAGGAAAAATTGTATTTTCTCTTTGTAGTGGCAGATCAACTATAATCACTTTAACTATTAAAGGGCTTAACAGAAAACAAAAAGTGAAATAAGAGGAAAACTGAGAAAACAGGAAAATTGGAAAAGAAGGACAAGGTCCTAAACAATTCCAAGTGTGTTTTTAAGGGACATTACCTGCTACGTATTGGGCAGGGTGTATGTAGGTTTCAGCTTTCACTAGAATAGGAAGCTTCATCAGATATTTACTAGGTCAGGCGTTTCTAAACAATTATGACATTTTATCACACAATTAACACTTATGTCCTAAGTACAAACCTTATCTACCATGCATACATTATCTTATCTTCTTATAGGATTACTTCAAATAGACTTAGCAGTGCCCTGACGAGAACAAGAATAAACAAGCAAAAAAGATCAGAAAAGAAGAAAAAGGAAAAAGAGAAATATTTATCTACGTTTAAATAGGAATTTTACTTGTGCTCTTGTTTAACAATAAGATACAACAATGATCTAAAACTATGTCTCATAACTTTTATTAAAATAACAGACCTGGAGCTTTTATTTCTTGTTAAATTAGAAATTAATAGAAGTTTAAATTCAGGAAATTTAAGTTAATAATAGTTATTGTGTTTTTCTTGTATTTGTATATAAAAAAGATTGTCGTCAGGCTTGAAATAACAAAAAATTATTGCTTTGACCTTATTTGTGAGTTGCTCACTCGTTTTCACGTGAGCATATTAGCTGAAAATCAGCACTTGGCCTCCAACTATGAATATATTCTCTCTGTTACAGCCCGAAACATTCAGCAGCACCCAGTGGACAAAGACGCCCAAGGCTTCTGATTGAGGAATGTCCTCTAATTTATGAGACACAAACAAATGACATAGCAAAAGACCTGGTAGAAAAGGTACTAAATGTATGCACTTTTTCATGAGATATTGAGAAACATTTGCTATTTCTTCTTCATCGATTTCCTTTTTTATTTTAAAAAGAAAGAATAGGGAAGTGATAGGTGACTTTCTTTGCCAGAATTTAAAATGTATTGAAGCACTGGTACCAAATTATTCAATGTTAAAAACAGAAATACAGGTCAATGAAACAGAATGAAGATACCCGGAAGTAAATTTAAACATACCTAAGAAGTTTAATAACAAACTTGATGAAATAAAATGGAGGAATAATCATTATTTAATGAATGTCGTTAGGGAAGTGGGCAACTGTTCTGTGGAAAATAGATTCCACGTATTTCAGATAAGATAAAGAGGTAATTTTTTAAAAATGAAAAATCCAAATGAAAACAGAAGAGTAAACATATTCAATTATGAATAGATTGAGGAGTTTGAGTATATGAATATATCGTACTAGGAATATTAAGCTAAAAAAATCAAGGGAAAATTTGCAACAGATGTGTCCCATGGGAGACTCATCTTCAGAATATACAGTCTAAGAAATGAATATGAAAGTGATGTCCAGTCTGAAATGGACAGAGTCTGGACAGCACGTACAAAAGGAAACATAAATAATCACAAGACATTTGGCAACAAGTTCAACCTAATAACTAGTTTAGAGGACAGGGGTTGCTGAAGATGCTACATAATTGCTGTAAATAAAAACTGGAATTAATATCTCACCATCATTAAACAGGGAAATTAAATTGAAATCATTTCCAGCACTCTGGGAGGCCAAGGCAGGCAGGTACCTTGACCTTGAGAGTTCAAGACCAGCCTGAGCAAGTGGAGGCCCTGTCTCTACTAAAAATTAAAAAACTAGCCGGGCATCATGTTAGGGGTCTGTCATCCCACCTACTTGGGAGGCTGACACAGGAGGATTGCTTAAACCCAGGAGATTGAGGTTGCTGTGAGCTATGATGCCACAGCACTCTACCCAGTGGGACTCTGTCTCAAAAATAAATAAAAAAATAAAATAAATTGAAATCACTAAATTCAGTATTAGCGAAACTTTAAGAGAAGTTGACATGCGTATTGCAACAAATTGTAGCATTGTAACAAATTAATACAGTGTCCCTGAATATCTATTTGGTAAGAAGAATGATAAATTCCATTTAATTAAATGACTTAGTAACCTCTTCTTTAGGAATCTATTCCAAGAAAATAATTGAAAGGGGAGGAGGAAGGGGCGAGGAAGGGAAGAAAGAGAGAGAGAAAGAAAAGAAAGGAAGAAAGAAAATGAATGTATTTATTACCAATGATCTGTATGCCTAAAAATAGTAAATTATATATGTATATTTTTAAGGTAATTAAGGTAAAAACTTAGTTTAAAAAATTTTTAAGAAAGTCATTAAAAAGGGGAAAATTATTTTTATACAAAAATATTTAATCAACAGTGAATAAGGGGCCAAATTCTCCATAACTGGCAGACTTCAAAGTAGATGACGATGTGTCAATACAATGGAATGTTTTATGGGCACTAAACATGACAACTATATTGACTGTCACGATGGAAAGAGTCGGCTCGGCGCCTGTGGCTCAAGTGGCTAAGGCACCAGCCACATACACCTAAGGTGGTGGGTTTGAATCCAACCCAGACCTGCCAAACAACAATGACAGCTGCAACCAAAAAACAGCCGGATGTTGTGGTGGGCGCCTGTAGTCCCAGCTACTTGGAAGGCTGAGGCAGGAGACTCGCTTGAGCCCAGGAGTTGGAGGTTGCTGTGAGCACAATGCCATGGCACTCTACCCAGGGGGACAGCTTGAGGCTCTATCTCAAAAAAAAAAGATGGAAAGAGTCAAGCTAGAAAAGTCAGCCTGGGCTCAGTGGCTCATGCTTGTAATCCTAGCACTCTGAGAGGCTGAGGTGGGAGGATCTCCTGAGCCCAGGAGTTTGAGGTTGCAGTGAGCTACAAGAAGGCCACTCATTACACTCTAACCCAGATGACAGAGTGGGACCCTGTCTCAAAAAAAAAGAAAGGTCTACATGATATAACTTGATTGAAATGTAAAAGTCAAACAGTGTGTTTTGATTTAAAACAAGAAAAAAAATGTGCATTCACAAATATTCTAAATTTATGAGAGTCTATGGTGAAAAGATTTTGTTATTTTTTACACTGACATATTTATAATGTTATAGCTTTTATTTAAATGCATACAGCCAAATCTAAGGTGTTTCCTTTCAGGTAAAAAACTGTGAAACTTGCTCTCTTATTTCTGTGGCTGTTTTTAAGCTTTAAATAACTATGTGTGTAAGATTATTTGTGGTTTGTGTGCAGCCAGTTATAGCTGCTAATGATACTGCCCGTTTTGCTATAAAGTCACCATTCAGTAAAGATGTTTAGCAGCAGTCTTTTGAGACTAGATTTTTATAAACAAAGCACACATACTGTTTACTACTACTATTTGGGGAAATGGAATTTTTTTTTCCCTGGGAACACTCCAGAAAGTTTCTTTCGAAAACAAAATTGTACCTACTAATTTAGTCTTAATAGATTTAGATCACCATCAGAGCCCTTGTTTTGCATTTGACTTCCTGGACACAGTTAAAGATCTATGAAACAGGAAAGTAGTGTTATTTCAGTAACAGAATAATGGGGTTATTTCATGAAGAGAAAAGCTTCAGGAAACATAGCACGTGAAATATTTGAACATTGCACCGGGTATGAACAAGAGCAGTAGATGAATGCCAGATATTATTTTTGAACGGCTGTCTTGTGTAAAGAGTTGGTTGTTGAACAGCTGAATTACAAGTCAAACTTTTAAAAGAAATTGTGGAGACAGAGCCTTACTCTGTCACCAGGCTGGATTGCAGTGGTGAGATCATAGCTCACTGTAACCTCAGGTTCTTGGGCTCAAGCAATCCTCCCACCTTAACCCCCCAAGTAATTGGGAGTACAGGTGCGTGCCTCCACACCCTGCTAATTTTCATTTGTTTATTTTGTTGTTGTTGTTGTTGTTGAGACAGGGTCTTAGTATGTTGCCCAGGCTAGTTTCAAACTTCTGGCCTCAAGCAATCTTCTTGCCTTGGCCTCTGGGAGCCAAAAGTGCTAGAATTAGAAGCGTGAGCCATGGCACCTGGCCCTTACATCAAGTTTTAACATTCTGCCAATGTTCATTCTAATTTTAAAATTAAGTTTACCAATGTTTTTCTCATGATTTCAAAATGCAAATTACATTTTAAAAAATACCAATTCTCCGTTTCGCGCCTGTAGCTCAGCAGCTAGGGCTCCAGCTACATACACCAGAGTTGGCGGGTTCGAATCCAGCCTAGACCTACCAAAAAATACCAATTCTCCAACTTAAAAAGTAAAAAGGACACTAACACTGTATTTGTCATTAGACTTTTCCAGATAAAATTTTCTAGTAATAGAAAAACCTATCTGCATTTTTTCATTGAGATCAGCTCATAAGACCTAGAGAAAGTATTGACAATAAATTCAACTATATCTAATTGCAGAATGCCATACCTCCTGACCCTTCCCTTTTATCTTCCAGGACTCCTGATATAAAGGAAAATTTGCAGCTTTTTTTAAGGCTTCATACATTGTTATAACTCAACATGTTAAATTGTAGGCATAAATGATACCAGATGAGTCAAAGTCTTTTGTCCTAGCTCCACACACCCATGCCTTCTCCCCTTCTCAGAATTCTCTTCCCTCATAGGCTGAAGCTGAGTTGTGGTTGCCCCCTTTGGGTATTGCTGTCTGATTTTGCCAGTTATTCCTGGCCTTTTTCATTCCATTTTATTCTAACTATAGATGTGTACACTTCACCCTCCATCATAACTCTTTCCTTCTCTCCCAGGTAACATTTAAAACATTTAACAAATGCAGTCAGTATAACCTAATTTTTTGTACCCTCAGTGAATCCCAAACAATAAAAAAAAATTAAATATTTAAAACAGTGACCATATAAAGGACATTACTATTTCTTTAACTTAATGAGTACAGATGGAGCAGCTTTAAGTATAAAACACTGCAATACAGAGATGAACAAGATACCGTCCCTGCCCTCACAGTAATTGTCAGTTGAACACAGGAAAACAAGAACAAAGAAATGAAGCAACAGCAGAGGAAAATGCCTTAGGTTGGCGGCACCTGTGGCTCAAGGAGTAGGGCGCCAGCCCCATATACCGGAGGTGGTGGGTTCAAACCCAGCCCTAGCCAAAAACTACAAAAAAAAAAAAGCCTTAGGTTTTTAAACTCTATGCATTTTAAAAAATTTTTTCATCTGACTTTATCTCCAAATATACTTTATTTTAAAAAAATACACTTTGTTCAGGGATGAAAATATCAGTATTAAAAAATGCATCTATACAAAAAATATTACATCTAGTCTGGGGGTAGATATATTTATATTTGGTAACATACACTAAGTGGCACTATTTACACAGTAACTATAAGGTAACTAACCTGAAGACACAGAACTGTAACTCTGTCACAGCTGCATGTACTTGGGCTTACTGTATACATTTAAATAAAAGCTAAATATTTTTTTTTTAGACAGGGTCTCACTCCATTGCCTCAGGCTAGAATGCCGGAGCATCATAGCTCACGCCCAAACTCCTAACTCCTGGGTTCAAGTGATCCTCTTGCCTCAGCCTCCTGAGTAGCTAAGACTATAGGCTTGGGCCACCACCACACTCACCTAGTTTTTCGTTTTTCTGGGTTTTTTTCCTATTTTTAGTAGAGACTCACTCCTGCTCAGGCTGGTCTGGAACTTCTGAGCTCAAGCAATCAGCTCACCTCAGCCTCCCAGAGTGGATTAGGATTACAAGTGTGAGCCCCGCCCAGCCTAAAAGCTAAATCTCTTTTTATTTTTATGTTTTGTTGAGACAGAGTCTCACTATGTCACTCCTCCATAGAGTGCTGTAACATCACAGCTCACAGCAACCTCAAACTCTTGGGCTTAAGCAATTATCTTGCCTCAGCCTCCCAAGTATCTGGGACTACAGGCACCCACCAGAACACCAAGCTATTTTTTTTGTTCCAGTTGCCATTGTTGTTTAGCAGGCCCGGGCCGGATTTGAACTCGCCAACCTCAGTGTCAGTGGCCAGTGCCCTAACCACTGAGTACATTAGCCTAAAAGCTAAATCTTAAAGATATGTCAAGGGGACAAGTGAGCGCCGAATATGAAAATACGCTTAATGTCTCAAATTATTTCTCTGGTATTACGTCCTAGGCTATTCTTTAACTGACAGTAGTGAATCTATTCATATGTATTTACTCTAGATAAGAGCCAAGAGTATGAAGATATAAGCCGATCAAAAAGATTATGTGTACACCTCTGTCAAGAACTAGTCTTTTAACATTTGCTTTATTAACACCAAACAAAGCTGTGTGTTTTTTGCTTAAACTGATAAATCTCTTCCTTACTAGTGAAATGTATTTAGTAAAGCTATTTTTAGAGATATCTTGGAATTAATTTTTAATTTTGCTCCAACTAGAGAAACCATTTTTACGTGGTCTAGAAAAATCATGTTTTAGAATTGTTGGTTCTTCCCAAATAGTAGCCTTTCAGAAAAAGGCTCCTATAAAAAAATTATATATAAAATATATTTCACTGTCATAAAAATATGTTTTCTATTTTCATGATTTCTAAAGTATATTAATGCTGTTTGAAGGTCATGATGATAGTGTAAGGTTAGAGAGAAGGTGATCTGTGTAAATGGAGTTTACATTTTGTTCTGACATCTCTTTTAAAATCTCAGATTAATGTTGCTGCCAAAAGAGGAATGAAATTTGTTGGATTCATATCACAGCACTATTCACCATCTAAATTCTGCAATGGAACCAACCATGATGGAGACATAGAATCAGTGCTACGTGTGAGACACAGTCCAGATGAAAACCCTAAAAGTTGGAATGAGGGGACCTTAAGTGGACAATCATCTGAAAGTGGGATTGAGGAAGAGCTTCACCTTGAAAGTGGACAGTGTCAAATGGAACAAAATGGCAGCCCCCGTTCCTCTAAATCAAGAAAGGGAGAAGGTAATAGACAAGATGAGTAGAAAGAGAACATATTACCAGTTTAAACATAGCAAAACAAATTTTGTTTTGTTTTGTTTGGGGGGACAGAGTCTTACTCTGTTGCCCGAGGTACAGTGACATAGCATCATAACTCACAGCATCCACAAACTCTTGGGCTCAAGAAAGCCAAGCTTGCCTCAGCCTCCCAAGTAGCTGGGACTACAGGTGCCTGCCACAACACCCAACTAATTTTTCTCTTTTTTGTAGAGACAGGTTTTGCTTTTGCTCAGGCTGGTCTCAAATTCGTGAGTTCAAGCAATCTACCTACCTCGGCCTCTCAACGTGCTAGGGTTACAGGTGTGAGTCACAGCACCTGTCCCCAAAACAAGTTTTGAAGTTCTCTTTATAAATGGCAGTGTAGGCTCAGCGCCTATAGCTCAACCGGCTAAGACGCCAGCCATGTACACCTAAGGTGGCGGGTTCGAATCCCCAGCCCGGACCGACAAACAACAATGACGGCTGCAACCAAAAAATAGCCGGGCGTTGTGGCAGGTGCCTGTGGTCCCAGCTACTTGGGAGGC